AGAATCTTAAGATCTGGTTTTTTATTTGTTTTAACAAAGAAATATAAGGGGCTGTGTCTTCCACTTTTCTTTCTTAGCGTGAAGTTATCTGAGTCCTCGCATCTCTGTCTCGTCCCTTTCCTTCTTTCTCCTTCCTTTCAGTCGTCTGCTGCTAGAGGAGAAAACTACAGGTAATGGCGAATACCAATTTACCGCGGAGGATCATTAAGGTAATATTATACATCTTCCGATCTTGTAAGATCTTTCAAGAATTGCGCTCCGGCTAGAAATGATTGGTAAATATAGTTGCTCTCAGCTGTTACGATTTTTCTTTTTTTGTTTTTTTTTACTTCGTTATTTTCGGACTCATCTTGAAGTTTCCTGGTGTTCGCGACGTGTGATTCATGCAGTGAAAACCCAACGATCTTCTTTAGGCCGAAACTCCTTTAGGTAATTTATTCTCGTCCTTTTGGCTTCTGGTGCTCTTGTTTTTAATCGGTTATTGCCTGTCTGAAGCTGCTGTATGTTGGGTTTATGGAGTTTTAGTGTTTAGCTGGAGTAAGAAAGGTTTTGGGTTGTTGGTTTTTTGGTGGTCTGATCTGCCCCATGTTTTTTTCTTGATAATTTGATTTTTATGATTGTTTTCCGTTCTTACTTTTCAGCCCATGGGATCAGTTGACGTCACCTTCGGAAGATAACACATGCCGTATTTTAAACGTTAATGATTCTTTGGGCCACACAAGTCTCCGTTGATATGTGTAATATTCACTCTCGTTGGTACTGTTTTGCTCTTTAATTAATAGTCATGTGCCTTTGTGTTTATATTTTGTTTCTTCTGGCTTCTGTATGCTTTGTTAGTTCAGATCTGGGTTGTTAATTTTCAAAGTTTATGACATTCATATCACAAAATTCTTATGTTGTTGCATATCTGATGCCTAAATTATGCATCCCCCGCCCATAGGAAAGTTAGCTGCTTTGGTTTTTGACTTTTTATGTTGATTTATCATTCTCTCTTTCATTACTCAAAACGCTGTTTTTAGTTCGTATTTTTTCTTTGATTATTTATACTGTTCCTTTGTTTTGGTTCTTGACGAGCTTTATTTTAATCAACTCAATAGGATTTCGTTGCAGCCGCCAGTTTCTTAAAATCATTGAATCAAATATCAACTAAATGAATCGATGACTAAGCAACCCACACAACAACCAAACCAGTGAACTCATGATTGAACCGACCCACACATCTTGACCTTTGGATCAGAAATACCAAAAGAGTACATTTCGTTCTCATAGGCATTATTATAGGCATGTTTTCCACGAATTGAAAGCACAAACTACTAAATAAAAATTTGCAAGGCAAAATAATTAGAATGAATTAGTATTTAGATTTTGAATTTACTCATTGTAATGCACTAGAATTGTTCTTTCAGAGTGTAGATCTTCAGATTTTCATGGCATATAAAATTTAGGAAAATTGATGAGTTGATCTTCTGTGAAAGGAATGGAAGAGAAGTTGTGTAATGGGATTTATGTAATGTGGAGTTAACGTCACTTGCAAACCTCAATGGAATGAATGCCAATGATGGTTTCATAAAGAAAACATCAAGAAGTTCAAATGACTAAAAGGATTATTGATGATGATGATCTCTAGTAACTCAATTCTTTACTAAAAGACGAATGCCTTTGTAGAAGTTTTTTTTTTCCTCTAATTCCAATCTGATGTGTTTTTGTTTTATCTATTCCTTTGATTAGGAGGGGTTTTTAAGCTTGAATTGTTTCTTCCTGAAGAATATCCCATGGCCGCTCCCAAGGTATGCAGAATGCTTCTGAAAAATGTTTTCATATTTTATTGTTACTTTTCTGCAAAGGTTCTGATATGTTCTTTCCGCTAGGTTTTTGTTACATGCTTAAGTATTATATACAGGTATGTTAAAGAAGTAATTTGGATAAAATGTGGTACTTATTAGTTATCAGAAGATTTGAACTTGTTCAATCCATTTGGACTACCTTAGTTTATTCTCTCATTTACATAATTCTCATGGCTAAAGTTATTGGACAACTGATTTGGCTATTACATCGAGTCAGCGCATCAACTAAGGCCGAATTTTTAAAAGAAACATGTTTAAGATCTAATTAAATAAAAGAAGCATAATTAACAAAAAATTTAAAAAAGAGCAAATTTACCAAATTATCTAGCGCAATTTAAATACACCAAATGATTTGGCGAGTTCAGATTAAGTCAAATCATTTGGCGTATTCACCTAGAGAGAAAAATAAGTGTGAGTGAGGAGAAGAAGAACGAGAAGAGAGAGGGGAAAGAAAATAGAGGGAGAAAGATTACCAGATAAGAGAGAGGAAAGCAATGATTTTTGTTCTAAGTAAAAGGAGAGCAAGTGATTAATAAACTTAATATAATTAAAAAATTATAAGTTTATAATTAATTTAATTACGCATCATTTTAATACATTATTAAAGTAAATCAAACATTAATTAAATTAAATTAAGTTATTAAAATTAGTTAAATTATATTATAAATTTAAATAAACATAATTATAAATTAAAAAGTTATAATTATAAATTAAAAATTATTAATTATAAAATTAAATTGAAATTATAATTTAAATAAAGTTATAAATTTAATTAAGTTTTTAAATTTTAATGTAATTAAACTAAAATTTAAATAAATTTATTAAAAATTAATGAAATTAAATTAAATTAAGTTTATAAATTTTAATTTAGTTTAAAAAATTTAATAACTTAGTTTGTAACTAATTTAATTGTAATTATATTTTAAATAAATATTATAACTTATGTTAAATTTATAAATTTATTAATTTAAATTAAGTATAATTTAATTCAATTTATAATTTAATTTTACCTAAATTTATAGCTTAATTTTAATTTAATTATGTTATATTTTACTTATAAGTTATTAAAATTATAACTAATTAAAAATTAAAGTTATAATTTTTATTTTTAATTATATTAAGTTATATTAATACTGCTCCTCATCTCTACTTAGAAAAAAATCAGCTGTTCTCCCTCTCTCTCTTTCCACCCTCTCTCTCTCTATGGTGTCCGTTCTCTCTTTCCTCACAGTTTTTCTTCTCCTAGAGAGTACGCTAAATGATTTGGCTTATTCTGAACTCGCAAATCATTGGCCCGTATTTAGACTGCGCAGAATTTAACGGGGAATGGTTGCTCCTTTTTTAAAAATTTTTATTAATTACGCTTCTTTTATTTAATTAGATCTTAAGCACGCTTCTTTTAAAATTTCGGTCGGCTTTGTTTGCTTAAGCTTGTTTAACCTTAATTCTTGATGAACCATCAGGATGATTGGCTGTGCTTAATAATTTGAGGTTCCTGTACTTTTCTGTGCACAAATTAGTGGTAAAAAATGCACGGTCCCAGTACTTACTGCTTGCAGGGAATGCTGCAATTCATTTATGTGGCTTTCCACGGCCCTGGTATATCTAATGAGAATACTATTGTATTCCTTTTTCTGTTTAAATTTATGATGTGTATTGTTCATCATTTTGGTTTTATTAGTCTGTATCCCTGGTTTATTTAGACAAGGCTAATTATGATTATGACGTTGTATGCTATGTTATCTGTTTGAATATGTTACTTTCTTTGCTATAGAAGTTAGCTTTGGCATTGAGTTCCTTAGGAATTTCAAGCTTGCATAGCAATTTCACCATCTCTTGCTAAGCAGTTTTTTTTAATAAAATTTCTGGAAAACATGAAGGGTGTATTTTTGCAAGAATTTAACAAAATGGGGTATCTTATTCTTCTCATATAGTCCATTTCATGTGAGCCTTTAGATGATTTCTCAACAGTAAAGATCAAAATTATGTATTTTGAAAGTAAACAGATATTTAATAAAAACATACAGTCGGGGAACCATTTTACTAGTGTCCAAAATAAAGTACCCAAATGTGATTTTCCCCAAAAGAGTGGTCTATAATGTCATGCATGCAACTTGTTGATCAATATAATTGTTGTTTTTTACTTTTTTCTACCTATCATTGTCAATTAGGCAAGACAGATAAGGTCATAAAGCCTCATGCATCTCTTAGGTAAATATTATTATTAAGGTGTTGCTTTAACAAGCATCTTGCCTTTGGGTTCTAGAAAGTGAATAAATCACTATTCCTTAATTAGAGATGGTAGTGTGAAAACTTCTACATGGAAGATGATTTTGTTCAACATGACAATTTGACATGTGTCATATAAAACAAGCATCAATATTTAAATTAAATGTAGGTTAGAAAGCGTCATGTTCTAGAGTTGTAAATCTTTAGGGCAAAGATAATATGATGGTGGTGGGTAGCTTTTTAGTGAGATTAATGGTTATCAGATGTTATGGATCTTTAGTTTAATATTTAGAGAGGTGTTCTAAAGTTTTGGTGGAATGTTGAGGGTTTTAGAGGGGTATATTAGTAGGAATGCCAAGACTAGTTCAGTTTAGGCTGATTTAGAAGATCACTTTTGGGGATGATTTTATGTGATATATATAGCTAAAAAGATGCTGAAAGGTTAGCTTAGAATATGAACATGTGATATGGAATTAATGGTAGAGTATTTTGTATTTTAAGAAGGCGTTAAATTATAGGAAATAAGACTAAGTTCAAGTGTTTTTTTTTTAATTTGGGCTGATGATTATGTGAAAGTGTTTAGAAGAGTTTTATGATTTTGATTATTGGTTTATTGGTCTTAAAAGATGCTTATAAAGTAGAGGAAGAGTTATGAATAGTTTATGGCAAGTGTTTAAGAGGACTTATAAGTAACATAAAAACAAAGAAAACTAAATAATCTCATGAAAGAAAAAGTATATACTTGAAGTAAAAAAAAATCAAACAAATTAAGAGAACTTCTTCACAAAATTATTTTATTTCAAAATAAAAAATTACAATGAATATCAACCCATATTTATAGACATTATAAGTATAATTTTTGGAGATAAAAAGAAGAAAAATGGAGGGAAAGAGGAAATTTATGTGCATTAAAGAGGAGTTCCCACTACCTCCTTTTCTAATGCTTTCTCCTTACCTAACAATGTTATGGCTGACCATATAAGCTTCTAGATGATAAATAAAATATAAATTGCATTTAAAATATTTAAAACTATGGGCTCATTATTGAGCTATTGTAATTTGGGTTTTTCTTTAATCATTTTTTAGGCTTTGGTCTTAGCTTTTATAATTGGGCTTTTAGCTTGATTATCTTCGTCCACATGATGTGTTATATCAACTCCCCTAACTTAGTTGAGCTCTACTCTATAGAGTTAAAATTCAAGTAGTTTTCTATCAATTGTGGGGCCAAAGTCTTTAAGTCAATACGCATTAGTCACATATCATCACTAAGTGATTTATTATTGCAACAAACCCAAAATGATGACCAACAATTAGATTGGTTGGTGCTTTCTCAATGATGATATAATCGTGTAGATAAAGATAATCAGCTAAAAGTTTTATTGTAAGAGCTAAGATCAGAGCTTAAGAAAAAATCAAAGAAAATGCCTAATTATAGGGGCCCAGTCAAGAGCTCAATAAAGAGTTCATAGTTTTAAATATTTTAAATGTAATTTTTATTTTATTTTTCATCTAGAAGTTTGTATGGTCAACCATGAAATAGCTAAGTAGGAATGTGACATTTAGAAAAAGGATAGTTGGAACTCCTCTTTAATGCTCACCAATCCTCTATTTCCTTCTTTTTTTTTTTCTTTAAAAATTAGACTTATCATGCCTATAAATAAAAGTTAATATGCTTGCAATTTTTTAGTTTTGGAATGAATTAATTTTATGAAGAAGTTCCCTTAATTTGCTTAGTGCTTGATGGCTTTAAGTGTGTGACTTTTCTTTGCTGAGATTGGATAGTTTATCTTTATGCCTTTTTTGATACTTAGAAGTCCTTTTAAACACATGCTCTAAATTATTCTCAATTCTTCCTCCACTCATAAGCATTTTTTAAGACCAATAATTAGCAATCAAAATCATAAAATCATTCTAAACACAAAAATATTATTAAGTATTAATTTTAGCAATAATCAGTCACTTTTAATATAAAACAATAAAAATATTTCATTCAGAAAAAATGATAATTTAATAGTCTTAATTTTGAAATTCCACAAGAAAAATAACGGATGAATATAACATTTAAGCAATGATTAGGCTTCACTTAATGAAATGGAATCCAGTATGTATCACACTTCATAAAGTTTTAATTACACTTGTAAATCAACCTCTAAACAAATTAAAAGAAAGAACAATAATGAAATTCATCCAAATGAAGGATTGGGTCTCTTGCCAATACTTGGAGAAATCTCTAGAAGTCTATATCAAGACTTGCCGGGTACTCAACGAATACACATCCAACCAACATATATATATAAAATTGAAGGAAATTGGAATTGGTGTGTAATACTCAATATTTTTTCAACATGCCTTTGGAATCCTATTTAGCCCACAAATAGGAAATTCTCACCAACCTCCTAGTAAAAGAAGTTCTAATTCTCCCAGCATTTAAACAATTGGAATCAACGTCAAGTTTCAAAAATTTCAATTAAATTCTTCCACAAGAAAAATGAGAGGTGACACAATAAAATATATATATATTCTATGCCTTAGGTGTGATATTTAATGCACAAACAACTTAAATAAGAAATTTCTCATAAGTCTTATTGGTCTTGTAAAAATAATAAGTTCAAATTTCCCCAACATATAAATAATTTGAATCAACCTTAGGTTTTAAAACTTTCAATCAAAATTTTCCACAAGGACAATGAGAGGCGACATAAAAAAACGAGAGCTAAAAAATTTGAGTTAATGGCTGGACTATGGTATTTCATGGAAGAAATTTCTAGACAAGTATAGTCGGAAATATGAATTATTGCAACAAATCTTGGAATTGTAACATCAATTGAGACTGTAGCATAATAATGACAATCAAGGCTTAGTGACTATAGTCAATTAGCTAACTATAAAGTTCCCAATTTGCATTATTCTGCTTGAGATGGAAAATTTTGGCTCATAAATTAAGTATTTAATATTTTTCATGTAAAGCTAATGCAATTCTTGCAAGGTAACTTATGAATCTCCACAAATAAATCTATCATCTCAATACACAAGAAACTTATGGTTCCCACCAGCTATAGTTGAAATAATTATTGCATATTAGTTAACTTTTAGAACAAGATGAGTAGATCCAACTGTTAAGGTGTTTGATATGAATTCACAAAGAAGAGATTGAAAGAGAGAAATTTACCTGATTATAGTTTCATGAACTAAAGTCAAATTAGATGATCTTGAAGTTTGGACTAGTATCTGCGCTTTACATATTTTTATTGCATAGGTATTTATATCAATGCACTGTTTGATTTTATATGACTCCATATTTCTTCGTAGGGAGCCTTTCATAATTTAGCTGTACCATTACATTATCATTTGGTTTAAATTTCACATGTTTTTGGTTCACATCAATAATTCACTTGTAATCAACTGTTAGTTTTTTTATCAATCTCTTTTTGCAAATCATAAAACTTATATGTAAATCAAGCAAATGATATGAAATAAATAAAAAATAAATTAAAATGCCAATATGTACCCTATTGATTATAACCTATCTCTAGATGATGAGACAACAAAGGAGAGCTTGCAAGCCTCATAAATATGAAAATGCCTATCTGGAGGAACTACCTCTAAAGGAAATTAACTTACATGATCTAAATATCAATGAAGATTATTTACACTTTGAAATTCAATTAAACTTTAAAAATTTTATTTACTTAGATAATTTTTTATTCACAAATTTATTGAAATATTGATAATATTGATGCAATTTTACTCTCTTTGATGTGAAACCACATGCAAAAGAGCTTGATAAGAAATTTAAGAATAATTGACAATGTAATCTCAATTAATAATTTATTGAAATAACAAACAAATTCATTAAAGAATCTTAGTTTTCCACTTGCTTAGGCGAAGGAGCACATGTAGGTTAACCAAATCTTGTAGATAAACAAAAATAGTAGCAATACGAAGAGCTATTAACCGACAATCCACAATTTAATAATGAGAGTTTTCACCTCGGGGATTGATCACTCAACTACACTAGGCTTTGGCGAGAGAAGATTTTGCACGCTAGAATCGAGATCACCACTAGGAAGACGATGCCGGAGGTCTTTGCCCACAGGAAAGTAGTCGGAGTTGGTGGAGGGGCTGACCGTGGATGATCTAATCGTGGTCCTGGAATTCTCTATGTTGACGTCACGAAAGACGATCTCTGAACGTCCACACGTCCTTGGGGATCAAAGACTAATCTCTGATCGATGTTCAGATTGGCCATACGTCTTTGAAAGGGAGGTGGAAGGGAGTCGTCTTCTTCTTCTCTTGGCTTCCAAATTCACAAGGGAGGGAGAAATGAGGGAGGTGACCAAGGTAGAGAGAGAGGGGGCGAGTGACTTGGGTGAGGGAATTTAGGTTAGGTGGGGGAGAGAATGAGATTTACTCAAATCTTAAATTAACTTCAGAATTTGAGTAAATTAGGAGGGAATCAATTTGAAATTGATTTCAAATTTCAAATAGGGATAAGGGAGTAATGGGCATTAAATGGGGCCCATCAAGAGGGGGGCCGACGGGTTCTAGAGAGAGGGAGGGAGTTTTTTTCAAAACCTGAAATTAATTTCAGGTTTTTGAATGAAATAGGGGGAATATTAATTTGAAATTGATTTCAAATTAATGTGTAATCAATGCATTAATTAGTGGCTTGAATGGGGTTCCATTTATGGTGAGGCAGGCGGCTTCTGGAGAGGGGAATAGTATGGGAGCCATTGAAGAGTTTCTAAATCGGCACATAAGATTTAGGAAAGATTATAATGAAATCCATTTGAATTTGAATTCCATCATGATGCGGATTTAAATACTTTCCTAATTAGGAATTTCCAAAATTGGAAAGTTTTGAAATTCAAAATTTGAATTTCAAATTGACTCCAATTTTTCCCTCTCAAGCCCAACCAAATTTGGAAGGAAGCATGATGAGTGAGAGCTTCATCACAATCGGAAAGGGAGCTTGGTGGGGGCGGCGGCAAAGTGGAGGGGAGGATGGTTTGATTGCTTGACGTCGGGTTATGGTGATTTTGGTGGAGGAGGGAGGTGAATTGGGGAAGCTATTGAGTGAAAAGGATGGGAGTAAGTGGACGAAAATGTGGCCGGTGGCTTGGGAATGAGTTAGGGCCGGCGGGTTGGGGAAAGAAAGAAGAGCGGGATGAAGGGGATAAACCACGAGCCACAGACTCTTCAAATGACTGGTGGGTATTGCTTTAGCCCTCACCTTGGGCTTTCTCTCTCACTTCTCTCTAGCTCTCATGCAAGAAGAGTAAGAAGAAACAAAATAAAATTTTCATTCAATAATTCATCATCTTCATTACATAAGAAATGGCCATATATATAGGCCTCAAAATGATAAAGGAAACAAAAGACTAAATGCCCCTTGGGCTACAATAGCGACCAAATACCCATAAGGATAAAAACGGAAAAACTGAAAAATAAAAATAAACTACTGCATAAAATGACTTAAAATAAAACTCCTGATTGTGGCTGTCAATCTCCGGTGTCTCCGATGGTACACGTGTCGAAATTGCTGACGATGTCCTCATCACTCTTCCTCAAGTCTTTTTATGAATCTATATTTCAAGAAATCTGAAAAAAAATAAAAATTAATTTTCATTTGATTTGCAGAAGTAGCTTCGTTAAAATTTTCATTGTGAGTTAACTTATCTCATTGATTTATGGGCTCAAGTTGTTCACATTCATATTTGAGATTTTCTTTATCACTTTGTCAATTGGACAAAGCAATTACAACATGTATGATTTGCTTAGCTACATTCATAAATACATTCTATGTATTCTAGAAACTCATGATTAGGTTCACGTTTTAAATCAAATTCAATTGTAGGGTCACTTTCAAATTTAAGTTTAGTTTCTAATGGAAGTATTGATTTGTAATGATCGCATGCTAAAATTTGATTTCTAATTTTTGTTAAATTCTAGCTCTTGTTTATAAATAAATAAGTTCAAATTCATATTCATATTCATGTTCTAATATAAATGTATATTCAGGCAACACAACAAAAGAATCCGATAATAATTTTTAATGTTCATCTAATTATAGGTTCACTTTCAAATTCAGTTGTAGTTTTAGAATTGATGTCATCTGCAAATTGGATTCATAATCAGATTCAATTGTAGTTTCACTTTCAAATTCAAATCTTGTTTCTAAGAGATGTGTAGATTCAAAATTGATCTAATGTTCAAATTCGATTATCAAATTTTGACTCAAATTTCATCTCTTTTCTAAGAATAAGTTCAGGCTCATGCTAAATTGTTAATGTAAGTTGATTCAGACTTCACAACATAAAAAATATCCATTTGTAACTATAAACTTGCATCTAATTCATCTTTAAAAGATAATTATGAATAGCGATTTCTTTAATAAAATCAGGTTTGACCATACATGATTTTTGTATCTGTCTAGTTCATAGGTTTGAGAGGAGAAGGTAAAGGTTTTGATTTTAATTATGGGTGTATTAGTAACAAATAGTTTTTTATATGGCTTTGATATCTACCTTATGTAGGATACAACATAGGATAACGTGCACTTTAAAAATATGCATAATTAAGACCACAATTTATAATTAAAAGGAATTATGTTTATCGAGGTGAATGAATGATTTTAGAATGAAGCTGTTGTGCTGTGATAGAGGCATTTTCTTACATTGGATTTACTTTTTCATCATTTAAATGAAGAAGATTTCAACAGGATTAAAATTAAATTTATTGAAGCAAGTTTTCAAATGTTTGTACATCCTTGTACGTACTAAGTAGTGCATTATTTAAGTAATAATTCTAAAAATTAAGTGGACTTACAGCAGAATGATAAGTTGATCAGATTCACCATAAAAAGGTCGCTTCACTTTGAATTACCAATCCAGTAAAGATAAATTCGTTAAGTAATAGATCTAAATTTGCTTCCCGATCATTAGAGCTATACATTTGAATTGTGATAGATACCGCTCCATGCATGTCTGGATCACGAAAATTTAGCTTCCATGTTATTTTATGCTGAGTTCCATGTTTATTAATTCTTATTTTTTAAATTTGATGGCCTGTGAACTTATTCCAACGTTGCATGTCCAATTTTTGTTGTTGTTTATGTTTGTATTCAACTTCAGAACCTTTTCCCCATGATGATAAATGTTTGCCTTTGTTTTTTCACACGCTGGAAACCTCTTCACTACGTCAAATAGAGTATTCAATTTGACCTATATGAGGATCCGATGCATATGAACTGTGATTGTTTTTTTCATTACTGAAACAGGTCCGCTTCCTAACCAAAATATATCATCCCAACATTGACAAGGCAAGTGCACTAATATTGACTGTTTTGTTCCTTGTGGGATAACTTTTTTTCTCAAGGTTTCTACACATGCAGCTAGGACGAATATGCCTTGATATTCTGAAAGATAAGTGGAGTCCAGCTCTGCAGATTCGAACAGTTCTGTTAAGGTGCAGGTCGATACTCTCTTTTTTTTCACTGAACAATATTTTTTCATATACTGATTGAAAGGTAAATCAAACTTTTCCATTGACACCATTGGAGAATTTATGTTCTTTCTGGCCAATTTTGTTGTGAAACAACTTAATGAAACATTACTCGAGTTTCTCCTTGCACTACTGGTACTTTGTTCGTCCAATACTATTTGGAATTTGGAGGGAGCACTGCTATGTTGTCAAAAAAAAGCTATTGTTATAAAAAAAAAAAAAAGTGTCCTAAGCATTGGCGAATTCAAGGTTGGGGCACTGGAGGCACAAGCCCCATTGGCTCAGGCTCGCATCACCATATTGTCTGATTGATTGGAGAATCAAGGTGTCCCTCCATCTTTTATTAGTTTATGACTTAGAATTAAAACATTTGTAAATAGAAATATGCCAGAGTCAGAATGTGGGAGGAATTGCAAACACACATATGCCATAGTCTTAGAGAGAGCACTAGAGGCATTACTGACATTTTAGTTGATTTTTCACTGTCTTGCAATTGGTGCAGTGTAGAATGAAATTTAATATAATAGAACTCGATTTTATTATAATGCCACAACAAAAAAAAATTCTAAATTCGCCCAAGGTCCCAAAGCATATGATGTATCTCACATCAAATAAATGTTTCTGCTATTCCTCAGATTTTCAATGCTGTTTTTGTCTTAATCAAACGGTCAAATCATACTTCAGAATTGTGTACCCAATAACCATTTTTTTTATCTTTTGTAGTTACAACTACTATCAAATTTTGTATACCCGTTAACGATTTCTTTTATCTTTTGTAGTTAGTACTACTTTCCAATGCTATGTTATCCAGTGTACATATTGACTTTGCATTTTAATTAATTTCACCACTTACCTATTACTCATATGTTTCTTTGCTGATTAATGATTATAAAATCTCTTATTTTATTTCATTTAACCATATTGTCCTATTTAATTAGCATCCAAGCGCTTTTAAGTGCTCCAAACCCAGATGATCCACTTTCAGATAACATTGCAAAACATTGGAAGACAAACGAAGCAGAAGCTGTGGAGACAGGTTAGCTTGGCATTTCTTATTGAAGATGAACTTTGTGCATTGTATTCTATGGGTAGCGAGTTGGTCACTTTTAATTTCCTTTGGGGCTCATTTGGTTGGTCTAAGTTCGTTAACATGCTTCAAATATTGATGAGATATATTATAATAATATAATCATTCAATTCATTACATATGAATATAATTCATCAACAACAACAACAACAACATTATCAAGCCTTTATCCCACTGCGGGGTCGGCTACATGAATCCGTTTTCTCTATTGTATTCTGTTAAGAGTCAAATTCTCATTTAAATCTAATAATCATTTCTAATACTTTCTAACCAAGTCTTTTAAGGTCTACCTCTACTGTTCTTAACATAGGCAAAAATCTAATACATCTACTCTCCTAATTGGGTCATTAGAAGGCTGACATTTTATGTGACTAAAACATCTAAGGCGGCTCTTTCTAATCTTATCTGCAATTGGAGCTATTTCTTCCTTTTTCACGTCTATACTTGTTTTGTCTCTAATAGTGTAGCCACTCATCCACTTGAGCATCCTCATCTCTGCAACACTTAACTTAATTTTATGCTTCTTTTTTAATGGCCAACGTTCCGCGTCAAAAAGCATTGTAGGTCTCATCTCCGTTTTATAGAATTTTCACTTTAGTTTGAGGGGTACTTTTTTGTCACACAATAGGCTCAATGCATTCCTCCACTCAACCATCCAACTTGAATTCTACTATTAATATCTCCATCTATTTCACTATCATTTGAGCAACAAGCCTAAGATATCTAAAATATGTACTCTTTTTAATGATTTGATTGCCCAAAGTCGCAATCACCCCACTAGATCTATAGCTACTAAAACTACAGGCATGTATTCTATTTTAGTTCTATTCAAAGGAAAGCTTTTAGACTCTAAGGTTGAAATTCAAGTTTTCCTTCAACTCTCTCCTTTTTAGTCTTATCAACAAGAAGAATATCATTAGCATAAAGCATACACTGGGGAACATCCTCTTGTAAATGTCTAGTAAGTACATCCATGATTAAAGCAAAAGAAAAAAGATATAGGCTTAAAGTTGATCTTTTGATGTAATCCAAATGAAATAGGAAAATACTTAGTCAAACCTCATTGTGTTTGAATACAAGTAACGGCTACAGCATACATATCTTTAATGACTTGAATATAAGCATTATTAACTCCTTTCTTTTTTAGAACTCTACATAGCACTTCTCTTGAAATTTTATAATATATTTTCTCTAAATCAATAAATATCACATGTAGATCTTGCTTATTTTATCCATGTACTTCTCTATCAAATCTCTCAATAAACATATAACTTCCATAATAAACCTACCTAGCATGAATCCAAATTGGTTTTGAAAAACATTAGTATCACATCAAAATCTATGCTCAATAACTCTTTCCCATGCTTTTAATATATAACACATTAACTTAGTTCCTATATAATTTGCACACTCCTATGCATTTCCTTTATTCTTAAAGATAGAAATTAACACACTCCCTTCATCTTACATTTTTTTAGTCTTCAAAATAATATGAACAAGTTTTGTAAGCGAAAAAATTCCTTCAACTATATTTCATATCTCTATTAGAATATTATTAGGTCCAATAAATTTTTCACATTTTATTTTCTTTAAAGTCATTCTAACTTCAATTTTAATAATACGATGATAGAAATAATTTTTTTTTTATTTAGGGTTCTTAAGTTCACTAAAATCAATCGTATTCTCACAATCTTCATTGAAAATTTAATGAAATATCTTATTCACTTTTGTTGAATATCCTTTTCTAATAAAAATACTTTTTGATATTCATCCTTAATACACATCACTTGAACTAAATTAATAACTTATACATATATTCTATTGCCCTTCTTAGTATCTAATATATTATATAAATCATTAAAAGCTAAATTCTTTGCATCGTATATTACTTTCTTAAACTCCTTATGAGCCCTTTTATATATTTTCTAATTTTTTGAGTTTTTACGTATAAACCAATTTTTATAATAAAGTTTTTTTAATGTTTTATCTTTTCTTACATTTTTTATTCCACCATCAACTATTTTTACTATTAGGAGTTTTTCCTTTTGATGCTCTAAGCATTTGCAACATTTTTAATATTACTACTTATTTTTTTCCACATAACATTAGCATCCTTATGTGCTGTCAAAATCTGAAGATATTAAATCTTACTCTTAAAAATATATTTATTAGTGTTCTTTTAATGCCCCATCTAATCTTTGAACAATATTTTATTTTATTTTTTATATTCCTTCCCTTCATCTTAAAGTCCAAAACTAATAAACGACGTTGAATACATAAATTTTCACTTAGAATAACTTTACAATTTTTGCAATTCAAATAATATATTTTTCTTATAAGAAAATAATCAATTTGAGTTTTACTATATCCATTCTTATAAATGATGAGATGCTCCTCTCATTTTTTTAATTAAGGTATTAGTAATTACAAAATCATTAGTTAGAGCAAAATCTAATATCATCCTACCAACTTTATTAGCCACCATGAATGCTTTTAAAATTTTCTATATGTGACTAGAATTCCTTTGACCTCATTCTACTGCTTAAAGCCAAAGTATATATTCTGAAAATAACAAGACTCGTTAAGTTCAACATTTGGTTGGTTTTCTTTTGACACCAATAATAACTTTTTAACTCCGCAAACATTCTAAAATTTCTCTATTAAGTGATTTCAATTTCTCACGGAAAGTAAATGTGAATGGAACATTCATTTTGTACGTGTTTTCTAGTTTGGGATCATTTGATTACTTGATAGCATTTTTTAAATCAATCATTTGGCTAGATGTGATTTGGTCCCGAAGGTAATTAAATGGATTTTATATAAGTTGGTGTATGGCATGATGTTACTACATGCTTTGTTACATCTTCAAGCGCATATCAAAGTTTATGTAAAGACACATCATTCATAAATGGCTATATAATTACATATATTTTGCAAAGACATGCATATATTATTCAATAGTTGGTATGCATAGCAATTAAAGCTTCGTTTGGGACGGTTTTTTTACTGCTTCTTAAAACAACTTTTTAGTAAAAAAGTTGAAATTTTTGTACTCTAAAGCTGCTTTAAGAAGTAACAAAAAAACCGTCCCAAACAAATTCTAGGTACTCATGTTTCATACTATATATTACATAATATGCATGAATGAAAGTTGATATGTTTTACCTTCTTCTGATATGTTAAGATTGACTTTGAACCAGCAGTATATTGATTCATAATTTGATAGATTTAGGCTTCGTTTGAGACAACTTTCATATTGTTTTTTAAAGCAGCTTTCTAAAAAGTTGAAGTTTTTTGTACTAGAAAATAACTTTAAAAAACAATAAAAAAGTCGTCCCAAACAAAACCTTAGTGGATGCCCTGATATATTTTTTATATAAGAAAATAATCAATTTGAGTTTTACTATATCCATTCTTATAAATGATGAGATGCTCCTCTCTTTTTTTAATTAAAGTATTAGTAATTACAAAATCATAAGTTAGAGCAAAATCTAATATCATCCTACCAACTTTATTAGCCACCATGAATGCTTTTAAAATTTTCTAGATATGACTAGAATTCCTTTGACCTCATTCTGCTGCTTAAAGCCAAAGTATATTATTTTACCTTCTTCTGATATGTTAAGATTGACAATGAAGCAGCAGTATATTGATTCATAATTTGACCTAAACAACAGTAAAAAAGTCATCCCAAACAAAACCTTAGTGGATGCCCTGCATCAGGAAAGCTCGACTTGCTCGTTAAACTATGAACTGATAATTTTCAAATTCATTATAAAATCTTCATTTATTTACAGTAAGCAGCAGTGTGACTTTGATCTTCTTGAAAATCTAAATATTCTTTGATCTTCTTCATCTTGGGATGATTAACACAGCCAAGGAGTGGACTCGCCTGTACGCCACCGGAGCTTGAACGGCCAACTTACTGTGAAATTCTGCCATTAGTGATTTTCTATCATATTTCTAGATGGTGTTGATGAACTTTCAAAGGGTCAGAGCTTCCTCTTCAAGCTTGAGGTAGCCCTGACAACTGCTTTGTTGACCTAATATTGCTCTGAAAGTAACTAACTTGAATGTCTTTTAGCTTCAGCTATTGTAACTGTTGAATTTGGCCTTAAGTTGTGAATTTCTTGCTTTCACAATAAGCAATCTATAAGGTGCTTTATCATGATGCAGAATTATTATTATTATTATTATTTTTTCATATTTGTTTCTTTAGTTTTTATTAGGTGTTTCTTATGAGAGTGTTATAAGTAAACTCTATAAGACATAAAAGTAAATTAAAATAAAATAAAAAGAATGTGTCATTTGATATGACTTTAATTGAAATGATGAACACTTGGGCTTTGTTTAGGATTAGTTTTAGGCCATTATTTTTTTTTAAATGATTTTTTAACTAAAAAATAACTTTACAAAGTAGTAAGAAGGTCGTCTCAAATGAAGCCTTGATCTTATACACTAACTATTTCATTTAGGTCCATCAAGTAGCTTTTTAATAAATGCCCTAATCGATATGTTTGGGATATTTTTGCAAAGATTTGTTATATATTGTAAAAAATAGGTAAAATTATTCTGTGCGGATATGGACGCCGTTCGGATGTGAATCAGAGCGCACCGTGTCATCTCTTTGTTGTGTACTGTGGTTGTGTATCCACTGTGTATTAGGTGATGTGATGCATTCTGATTCGTCTTTGAATGATCAGGTGTCCGCACAAAATAATTTCTCTTAGCTATGAATGTGGATTGAAGGCGAAGTAACGTTTGTACTTGGCCATGATATTTTTATTGTAGGGGCTCAAGTAATTTCTATCCATTGATTTGATGAGACAATAAGAAGAAACAGAAGTAGGCTTGATTTATTAATTGAAAATATATTTTTTTTTAAAAAAAATCATAACATTTAAACGGCTATGCTTCTAATGATATCTATAAAAATATAATTTTATAGATTTATGATTCCTCTTTATTCTATACAAATCTACCATGTTATACATTTGCCCTCGTCTTGAATTCTGTGATGGTTTCATTCTTCATATTCATCTAGCCTTCATAATATAGGTGGTTATATAATTGATGACAGTCAATTAACAAATAAATTAGAATTTTTAAAGAAAATATAATGTAAATGCATTAAAAAAATACTTGGGTATGTCTGATTTAATATAAAATGATATAAATATCTTAAATGCAGGGGTATTTGATCAAAAATAAAACAACAACAACATCAAGCCTTTGTCCCACTACGTGGGGTCGGCTACATGAATCCTTTTTTTGTCATTGTATCCTTTTAAAAATCAAATCTTCATTTAAATCTTTCTTAACATAAGTCAAATCTAATACATCAACTTTCCAAACTGGGTCATCGGAAGGCCTCTGTTTAATGTGACCAAATCATCTAAGGCGACTCTCTCTACTCTTATCTTCCATTGGAGCTACTCCAACCTTTTCACGTATATGCTCATTTCGTATCCTATCTTTAAGGGTAAAGCCACTCATCCACCTAAGCATCCTTCTCTATGCAAACACTATTATGCTTCTCTTTTAATGGCTAACATTCGACGACATAAAGCATTGCAGGTCTCACCACCATCTTATAGAATTTTCCCATAAGTTTGAGGGGGACTTTTCTATTGCACAACAAGCCCGATGCATTCCTCCACTTCAACCATCTAACTTGAATTCTACTGATAATATCCCCATCTATTTCACCATCACTCTGAACGATAGATCCAAGATATCTAAAACGTGTACTCTTATTATCGTCCAAAGTCACAATCCCCTCACTAGGTCTATTGCTACTAAAATTACACTCTATATATTTAGTTTTAGATCTTCTCAAGCGAAAACCTTTAGACTCTAAAGTTGACCTCCATAATTCAAGTTTACCTTCAACTCCATCTCTAGTCTTATCAACAAGAAGAATAGCATCATCAAAAAACATACACCAAGGTACATTCTCTTGCAAATGTTTAGTGAGAACATCCATGACTAAAGCAAAAAGATATGGATTTAAGGCTGATCCTTGATGTAATCCAACTGAAATAGGAAAATACTTGGTCAAACCACCTTGTGTTTGAACACAAGTAATAGCTCATGCATACATATCTTTAATGATTTGAATATAAGTGTTATTAACTCCTTTCTTTTCAAGAACTCTCCATAGCACTTATCTTGAAACTTTATCATATGCTTTCTCTAAATCAATAAATATCATATGTAGATCATTCTTATTCTTTCTATATTTCTCCATCAAACCTCCTAATAAATATATGGCTTCCATGGTAGACCTACCCGACATGAATCCAAATTGATTTTGAGAAACATTAGTATCAAGCTGCAACCTACGCTCCATAACTCGCTCCCAAAGTTTTAAAGTATGACACATTAACTTAATTCATCTATAATTCACACACTCATGTGCATCAACTTTATTCTTAAAAATAGGACACTCATTCTCCACTCATATGGCATTTTTTTAGTCTTCAAAACAATATTAAAAAGTTTAGTAAGTCAAGAAATTCCTTCATCTCTTAAGCATTTCCACATCTCTATTGGAATATCATCAGGTCCAATAGCTTTTCCACACTTCATTTTCTTTAAATCATCTCTAATTTCAGTTTTACTAATATGTTGATAAAAATAAAAATATTTATTTTCATTTAGAGTGCTAAAGTCGCTAAAGTCAATCGTATTTTTACATTCTTCATTAAAAAATTTAGCAAAATATCTCATACACCTTTCTTGAATATCATCCTTAATACACTTCACTTGAACTAAATCTTTACTACTATCTCTTTGTTTGGTTAATTTATACATATATCTTTTTCCCTCCATAGTATCTAATCTTTTATATAAATCATTAAAATCTAAACTTTTTACATCGCAAATAGCTTTCTTAGATTCCTTACGAGCTTCTTTATATCTTTCCCTATAACAAATCTTCTTATTTTTTATCTTTTCTTACACATTTGGATTCCACCACCAATTATTTTTATTTTTAGGAGTTTTTCCCTTTGAAACTCCAAGTACATCTTTTGCAATATTCTTAATATCACCAACCACTTTTTCCACATAATATTAACATCGCATGCACAGACATAACCTTAAGATCTAAAATCTTATTTTTAAAAATACTTTTGTTAATATTCTTTAGATATCCCAATCTAATCCTAGAAAATTATTTTACTTTATTTTTTAATTTTCTATCCCTTTATCTTAAAGTCCAAAACTAATAATCGATATTAGGTAAATAATTTTTCACTTGGAATAACTTTAAAATCTTTGCAATCTAAATGATCTAACTTTCCTATAAGAAAATAATCAATTAGCATTTTACTAAATTCATTTTAATAAGTGATCTAAAATTAAAAAAATAAAATAAAATATTTAAAATTCATCTATTTTAATTTTGATTCATTTAAAAATTATTAAATTTGATTAATTTTTAAATATATTATAAATTTTATATCATTATTATTAGAATTTATTGTTGACACTGACCGCTATCATTATTGAACTTTATACTATATTCATATTACTTCAAGGCAAATAAAAAAAATAATCACTTATTTCTATTTTACACCCATTCAAATAATCCCAAACATTTCAACTACGCTCATTATTCATTTTTTGTTTTATTTTAATTTGCATTCCCAAATAGCCACTAAATACAAAGATATAACATAAGAAAATAACACACATTAATGTCAGCATACATGAGCAAGGAAGTAGGTTAACAACTAGCTTGAGGAATAGATTTAAAAAAAAAATATTTTTGGTGCTCCCATTCTTGATTTAGAGAAATTATCCTATGCGGACACTGAATAGTCTGGAGGCTAATCAAAACGCGCCACATCACCCTGTACTCAACTTTACCCAGCACCGATACCGACCAAAAAAATGATGTGGCGGGTCTGATTGGCCCCCGTATGACATCCGGTGTCCGCATAGAATAATTTATCCTTCATTTGACACCAAACAATCACTTTTTCATGAACAACATAAAAAAAAAAGAAGTTAACAATCTCCAGAAGAACCTAACAGGTTGAAAATCTATTTGATTGATTAAAACCACCAAGTTTAATCAGGTTTGGTTCAAACATCAACTCATTGCATGGCTGTAATTCCATCTAACTTCTAACCAGACACCTTAGTTTTCAGAAAATACAAAGCCGTAGATGTCTCAGCACAATGCATAAAAGAGAGAAACTGGAAGATGATCATGTTCAGATAAACTTTAAATTCAGGCAAAAACCATACATTTCATCAGCTCTTCATATAAATATTACTCCCGGTTGAACATGTAGATCGATCCAGCTTTTCAAGCAAACCTTAAGTCAATGCGATGCTGTGCGAGGGATGCGAGGCCTCACTGGAGTCTTTGATGGACTAACCCTGACAAAAAAAAAAAAAAAAAAAGATAAACCTAATTTGTTAAGCGGAAACTTCATAGATTAACTGCAGCATTTGATGATTGGAGTGTAATATACCTAATTTGGAAGAAACCAAGGAGGCTATGCCACTACAGTTCAGTAGCTAGAATGGCACACTCCAGCCTGGCAATGAAGAGGAACAAGAAAACAAAATCCAAAGAGTTAATATCGAAATCATGTTGTGTAACAAGATCTTCGTAGATTTTTAGTAAATGTGATCTCTATTACAAGGGTTTTTAGTCTTATTATTATAAGAGTTCTTAAGGCCAATTACCCTCTCCCCTAAAAAATTTAGAATACTAGTCCCTTTAGCAAATTCCCCCCCCCCTAAAAATTATTTATTACATGTCGAACCCCACTAGGAGCACTGCCCCCTTGGACCCCCGACATATATGCAAAACGTACTACGATCCAGTATATGAACAAAATGTTGATGATATTTTCAAAATATATTAAGTACTCAAGTACAAAGAATCATTAGTCACTAAAACTATATATATAAAATAATTCTCAAAAAAAAAAAAAAACCAATTATCTATACATTTACTTATAAGCTTGCCCCCCCTGAAAATTAAGGTTGGTTCCGCCCCTGTATCTATAAAACATTTTCAAATATCATAATTATCATCACTCTCTATCATTAGACCTTTGTTCATTCTTGTTAAGTGCCATATGAGGTATAGCTGAAATTTGTGAAAATGTTATTACACAACTTCATATTAGTTATGTATATATATCTAATTATTGTGACTTCTACCCCAGTTGTACATGCTCTAATCACCAAAATATATATTCTCTCACCTTATCTTGAATATATACAATCTCACAAATTCTCTCTACTACTTATTTTACCACCACATCCTTATTAATCTTACCACATCTATCATAGAATTCACGTTTCTTCCACAATATATATGATTATCAACCTTCGTTATAGCCTAATAGTCGAATTCATATAACATAATTAGTCTAACTATAGTTTATTAAATCATGCGGTGCACAAAATATATATTTTATTTGCACTACATATCATGCAGGTTTAACCCCATGTCACGTTGAAACAGACGCATTAAATGGTATTGAGATTCTGGTGGTAGACCAAATGAAATGAAATGTATGAAAATTTACCCGAACAAACTCAACAAAGGCTATCCTAGTTGAGTGCACATTATCTCCAAGAAGTCTTAGACGGGAAACCTGCTAAGGAGAAACACATTTTCTTTAAATAATCAAGAAATCACCAAAATGAGTAAGAGCAAAAATGCGAGAGTCCTTACCTCTCCACAGCAGACATGTTCAAAAAAACGTTTCACTTCTGACTGAGTAACCTGCAGAAGAAGAGAATCCATACTGGAAATATCAGAAAATCACCAAAACTGCAGACTGAATTTATGTTCAAGCATGGATCTATTATCCCAAGATAAATAATATCCATAACTAAATCAATGAATGCAATTGAAATCTGAATTGTGGCCAGTCGAGTCCGAATGAGAATTCTATGTGAACAATTGCCAGATTTAGGCTGCGTTTGGGACGGCTTTTTTATTGTTTTTTGAAGCAGCTTTCTCGTATAAAAATTAAAAATTTTAACTAAAAAGCTGCTTTAAGAAGAAGTAAGAAAGCCGTCCCAAATGAAGCCTTAATATATCAACGAGCAGCCGTCATCTTCAAGAACAGAAAAGTACTCACCTTCTTGTCTATGTTTGTACAATATACAGTTCTCACAACCATTTCTCTTTCATCGTTGGACTGTGATAATTTCAACAATAAGTAGCCAATATGAAAAAATGCATGTATATGAAATGAAAAAAAGAAGGTAGTGAAATTTTACTAAGCACAGAAATAAATGAAAGCAAGTTCAAAATGCACACCCGAGGAAGAAATTTGGGATTCACTGGCAAAATTGCAGTTTTTGAAGGTAAAACTTTGACAGGATAGTAACCTAGCATGGTTCCACCAATATTCAAAGCTGCTCTAGCACCCTCTGCCAGCATAATGGTGTTAATATTTTTTAAGAAAATTGTACAATGATCTGTTAAATGCAAAACTAGCCGAGCACAAATTGTTAGATGAATTTACCCTCATCAGCAAACTCTACGAATGCAAAACGGAGAATCGAGTGTGGGTCACCACAGATCCGACAGTCAACTACCTTCAGAATTAGAATTCCAGAACAATAAGAGCATTAAAATTTTGTGTATGGAATACAAACCAATCATATTTGAAAGAAAATAAATAGTATCATCTTTACCTGAATGATATTTAATGATAATCTTTTTCTGTTTGCGAATTTGTGTGAAGGGGCCGTGTTTATTTATTTCTTGATAGCATACAATGAAGTTTCATAAAAGGTGCTAGATGTCCTTAATAAAAACATCAAGTAAAAGAACTGCGTGCTTCTGAGAAAAGCTAAATTGTGATCATAGTCCATAAGAGATAAAAGAAGCTATTCTGCAGAAGTTTCCCCAGGTTACATTAACCTAATTTACTTGTGTTATTAAGATACAGCAGTCATTTATCTTTTAAACATTACAATTTAGGAGGAACATTTTCAATGGAATTATATGGGCTAGTTTGATGAAAATCAAACTAGATAAATGAGTTTCAAGACCTGATTCATAGATGAATTTTAGTGGGAGTCTGAAGACCAGTTATGAATGTATGGTCTGGTCAAAAAACTTTTAACGCTTTCCTTCACAGTAAAAAAACTTCAGCAATTTTCTATAGAAGCACCATGACTTGTAATGATCTAGTGTTTGATGCATCTAATGTTATGCCATTTTTTTTTGGCCCAATAACATTTTTGGTTTGAAGGAATTGAAGAAAATGCAAATACAATTTAATATGTCTTTATCGTGACAAACATATCCTTCACAAGAATAAAAATTTCAATTTCTCATCAACCTGATCTACAAAAATAACAACAACAAAAAGTCATTATTTGACTATGTTGGATCATCTACATGAATCATTGAATCTTTTTCTCTATTGTGTCCTATTAAGAGTCAAATTCTCATTCAATGATTTACATCTAATAAAAAAATGCCATTTTTAATACTTACCAAATCTTTTTAGGTCTATCTTTACCTTTCTCAACATAGGCCGATTTTAAAACATCTACTCTCCTAAGAGGGTCATTAGAAGGTTGATGTTTTATGTGACCAAATCATCTAAAGCGAGTCTCTCTAGTCTTATCTACCAATGAAGCTACTCCAACCTTTTATGCATATAATCATTTCACATTCTATCTCTAAGTATAAAACCATTCATCCACCTATCTCTGCAACACTAACTTAATTTTAGGCTTCTCTTCTAATAATCAACCTTTTGAGCAATAAAACATTGTAAGTCTCATCACCATCTTATCATTTTTTTTTTAAATTTGAGGGGTACTTTCAATCACACAATAGGCCCGATGAATTTCTCCACTTTAACCATCCAACTTGAATTCTACTAATAATGTTCCCATCTATTTCACCATCTCTTTGAACAATAAATCTGATCTAAAACATGCACTCTTTTTAATGACTTGATCAACCAATATCACAATCCCAGAACTAGATCTATTAGTACTAAAATTACAATCAATGTGTTGGGTTTTAGATATACTCAAACAAAAACCTTTAGATTCTAAGATTGACCTTTATAATTTAAGTTTTTCATTAACTCCTCTAATCTTATCAATCAACTCGATTTGAAATAAAAAATATTTATAGCTCAATTCCTCCTAAACCAAACAAGTACATGAAAACTAATTTCAATTCAGTTCCTTCAACACAATATTAAAAAATACGTAATTGAATATTGAGATGGTTTTTGTATGTGAATTGAGACATAATCCTCAAGATGTTTTGAAGTATAAGCCTAACGATAATTGGTAAAGTTAAAAAAAATGAAGGTAAGAAGTAATATAGTAATATCATAACAATTAATATATAACACAATGAAAAATTAACATTTCAATATAATAAGTAACAAATTTACGTTTAAATCAAGTAAAATACTATATAAGCCGTAAGTATACGTAACAAATTTTAAGAACTCGAGTGCAATGCACAAATCAATAAGTCAAACTAACATAAGATATCAAAATCAAATGAAGAATATAATATAGAAAATTATATTAAGACATCAACTAAGTTTAACATAATAAGTTTCTCTCCTTCGTTCCAACATGACAACTTCCAACATTCTAATGATCAAATTAACAATATAACAATTAATCAAAAGTCCTTAGTTCAATGCATGTTGTCTCTAAATATGTTCTTAACCATGTGAATTTGAAACATGAATCAGATACATAACCTTATAAGATAGCCAGAGTGGATAAAATTGCTATTTTTGTATCTAAACAAGTTTAATTCCTATTCAGTTAGCTAACTGTAATAATAAAATCTGGTGACATGTAATGCAAAAAGATCTTTGCATATTTTTGAGTAAACATGCATTTAAAAAATCGGTAGGAGGATGTGATGTATGCTTTGATAGATAATGAATTTAATGATGCGCATTGGGGGTTCTGATTTTGCCTGATAATGTTAAACAAGTATTGGTTGATTTTCAATATATTTGTTCTGATGAGCTTTCTAATGAATTACAATCATTTAGTAGCATACATCATGTCATAACTTCAGTTCTTGAATCATCATTGCCTAATTTGTCTGGTTATAGGAAGAATCAAGCTAAACATGCTGAGCTTAAGAGGCAAGTCAACAAATGCAAGTTAGTAAAGGGATTTATCGGGGAAAACATGAGTCTATGTGTTATATAGTTTTGCTTATAACTAGAAAAGATGGGAGTTGACATGTATGTGTATAGTAGAGTCATCAACAAAATCAACATTAAATATAAATTTCTTATAGCTCATTGGATGATATAGATGATGAACGGTGTTATGATATTTCTAAAATTGATTTGAGAAATGACTATCATTAAGTTCAAATAAAAATGATAAGTGAAAATTTGCCTTAAGATCAAACATGAATAATATGAATGATTGTTGATTTTTCTAGATTAACTAATGCATTTAGTACCTACACAAGGATAATAAACATGTTTCACTGCTTTCTATTGAAAAGTTTTTCACTTTTTTGTTGTTTGTTTTGATGATATTTTAATATATAACTAGACACAAGGCAATCATTTGGTACATTTTAAGAGGGTATTTGATGTTTTACAAGCTGTGAAATTATATTTAAATCTAAAGAATGTTGTTTTGTGACTCCATATATTATCTTAATAGGATTTCTTGTACTTAGAGATGAATAGTATATTCATCATTATAAGATCAAAGTGATTAATAATTGGTCAAAACCTACTAATATATATGATAGTCAAAATTTTTCTTATTTGCATGCTTTTTATAGGAGATTCATTAAAAGACTTAATATTTTCAGGACTCTATTTAGTAATATTCAGAAGAAAGGAGAATTCAAACAAACTAAATTCTCTGAGCATATTTTTATTGAGATCAAAGACAAACTTATAAATGTTTTTGTGCTTAAGTTAATCAATTTTAAGAAGGTGCTTAAGGTTTATTTTAACACATTGAAAGTTGTTATTGCATGAGTGATAAGTCAGAAAGAACATCTTATTGCATTCTCAATTGAGAAATTGGCTGAAACTAGGGGTGTCAATATTGGACCCGACCCGAAAACCCACCCTGAATCCGACCCAAAAATTTTGGGTTCGAGTTGACCCGAACCCAAAGCGGGTCGAGTTCGGGTTCAGGTTTTCGACCCGTTTCAAAAAAACGGTCGAGTTCGGGTCCGCAAAACTAACCCGTATACAAAAACGGGTCTGGTCCGGGTTGACCCGAATAGTGCCGGGTCAGTTTCGGGTTCGACCCGAACCCGACCCGTGACCCGAAATTGACACCCCTAGTTGAAACTAAACAAAAATATTACTCCCATATTATTATGCAAGCTCTTATTTATTAGAGACATTATCTACTATCTAAAAAAGTTTGTATTGTACTCTGATTATCAAGCTTTTAAATATTTTAGTTCTTAAGAGAAATTAGGACATACATGCTAAGTGGCTGAGTTTATATAGAAATATTCTTTTGTTCTCAAACCTTGTGTCTGAAATGAGAATAAGCCTGCTAATGCATTAAGTAGAGTTTTTATCATCCTACATATAAAACAAGTTAAGGTGACTGGTTTTGATCATTTAAAAAAAGAGTATGTCACTTATATAGTAAGATTCACCCAGACTTAAATAATAATTTATTTTTTCATAATGAAGATTATATATATGAAGATCGCTATTTATCTCATCTTTGTATTTCTGATTCATCAAACAAATCATAAATATTTTTATTTATAACCACATGCTAAGAGTTTTTATTGACATTTTGATAGGAATGAGACCATTGCAATCATTGAAGATAAAAATTTATGGCTAAGTTTAAAAAGGGATGTGGTACACACAATATAGGATTATTTAGTTTGCTCAAGGTAGGAAACTATTAGACCGGTCCAGGCGGGACCGGTTCACGGGCAAAATCGCAAAAACAACAGAGAAAACTTCCGCCTGGGCGGAAGCCGCGCGAGACGCGCGCAGGTTAGATGTACATTTTCCAATTCTTTATAAACCATTGAACGATAATATTAGAATGGATATTGGGTTGAGTTTACTAGAAAATCTAAGATTTTATTATCGCACTGCATGATCTCTTTTTTAAAACGACTCATTCATATTAAGTCATAAAACTATTGATGCATCTCACATTATTAAACAATAGCTTAATGAGGTGGTTAAATTGCATGAATTCCCTAAAATAATTATTTTTTATCGGGATGTAATATTTATAAGTAATTAAAAAACCTTTGGATGAAATAAGAACAAAACTTAAATTTTCATTACTTATCACGAATGCAAGATGAAGTAGTAATTGGAGCTTAAGAGATCTATTACATAGATGAAATTTGATATTATGTATAATTGAGGTTGCATACAATTCATTTGTTAATAAGTTGATTAGAATGAGCCTATTTGAGTCTGTCATGATTTCAACGTAAAAACTATACATCTTGATGAGCTTCCTATTGAGCACAAGCCTAGCTGATGTGAATTGAAGGTATGCATAGTTTACATATGGCAATAAAGTCATAGTGCATTTAAATTCAAAAAAAAATTCATCAAGAACCTTTAAAAAAGTAAATGTGAGAAAGACAGGGCCATTTAAAATTTAACAATGCAATAAAATTAATACATAGTTACATACAAATTAAAAATTCAAGGAAATACCTATATTAATTTAGTTTTTAATGTATCTAATTTGACCTTATTTTTATAAATCTATTGTCAATTCCTTAGATTCTTCTTTCTTTCTACCTTAAGCCAAATAGTTCTATACAATTTACTCATAAGACAATTATGAATGAGATCTATCCATAATTGATGGAGGATTCCATCCATATTTTGCTCACTGCAAGACAAAATTTATTTGTAAGACTGATGTATTACTTTGCTGGAAACAAAACTTGGGTCATAATTTACTTGATGAATATCAAATGTTAAAGTCATCATAGCTGAATTTTTCCAAGCTAGGTAGATTTGATACAAATTTCTCATATATATTCTTATAGGAAGTATCAAATCAAGAGCAACGATCTATGCACTTTTATTTGATTTCATTAGTTTTGTTATTTTATTCAGTTTGTAATTTCTATAGTTTGGCATGCATGTAATAATTTTTTAATATTAGGTTGATCTTTATGATTTGGCCTAGGAACATATTAATTTAGTTCACAGATATTGTCAAGTTCCGCATTATGATAATGGCAGTGTTTACTTGCATGATGCCAATTAAATAGTGTCCAATTTTGCTTTACAATGTTACAGATTTAGAGGACTTGCTGAATTGCATGCTGTCACTATTTGTGAAATTTTTGTTTCACTTTATCAAGTAGCTGTCACTATTTGGTGTTTATGGTATGAGCTCGTTGTCGCTACTTATGTACTTCAAGTGCCATGGTATGGGTTCGCTGTTGCTATTTCTTATGCCACTATTTGGAGTTATTCTGGTGCCCCAGTTTAATTTATTGTAAGATTTTTCCGCATGGTTACTAATACGTCTCCAATGTAAAAACAACAAACCAATCAATAGAAAACTGCAGGAATGCCCAAAATAGTGGCTGATTTTGTATTATTTCTGTAATATGAAAGCAATATAGATGTGATCTACTATTAGAGAGGTAGATGATCTCTCCCACAAGATCTAGACGCCGCTAGAAACTCACAACAAACACTATGAACATAAAACTTAGCAATAGCATGATACCTAACCTTAATCAAAACTCCCCCTTAAATAGTTCTAGCCACGATAACATAAATAGAACCTTCCTAAACAATCAAACATATTTAATCAACCGATATAGCCACAGAGGACCACATGCCTTTAATCTCAAAAAGTATGAGGGTTCAATATAAAATTGTAGACTAGGGTGTCGAATCACCACATGGAAAAAAATTATTTTGAGGTTTCTATTGAAAAGTAACGAGCTGGGCCTACAGAGAAACAATAACTTAAGTTGATTAAAATCAAAGAGTTCTATTATGCAAAGTTATGCAAATTCTTCAAATGATCAATTTCTTAAAAGGCAACTAGAGGAATGGTCAAATGAACATAATTATGTCCAAGTGTTACTCCTGATTAAGAAAAATCCATTCTATTACATAATCAATCATTACAAGAGAGGCAATTATGAGTGGTTGTGACCAAAATAACATCTAACCCAATCCTTATTGCCATAGAACAGGAAAATACATCTGAAACAATACATGATTATTGATGCTAGACATGATTTTTTCATGCACAAAGCACAACAATTACTATATTTTAAATCTCTTATCAAGGCAATTCCATCAGCCCTATGGTACCAGCTATAAATACTAGGCATGTAGATGGTAAAATTAAGCCCTGTGGTGAGGATGAGATAGCCTAGAGTCATTGATAATTGGGTAAACATCAACTCAACATGAAAAAGGCCATTGGTATCCGCTGCCAAATATGACTTATAACTAGCTCAACCAGTCGCCTAGTCATAGCAGTGTAAAATCATAAAAACCTAGAAGTATGTAAACACACAAATTGACTCAATCCAAGCAACAGAAACAAATTGCAATCTTTAATCTAAGAAGCATACCAGTACCATGCATGCTAGCTAAAAAAAATCCAAATAGAGACTTTTAGCATCAAGCTTAACCAATAACTCTCTAGAAATTTTAACTGCATTTAATTGGTAACATTCAGAAAAAAGAAAAATAAAAAAGAAGAAAAACAGAGGATAACATTTTCAGATCATTACTTTATCATTTCCACAATTTCAAAGTATTGGTAGATGCAAATAATTTACAGCAGTTATAAGTAGAAAACTAAACACTGGATGCTACCTTTATGATTAAACAACAATTTATCAAGATCAAAATATAAAATGAACATAAAAATGTAATAATAAAAAGTTCTATTAGTAGAGAACGATGCCATTTAGAAGGGAAAATGGGGAAAAAAGAGGCATGGAACATGATCCTAAGCCAATTTGCGAATATGAGTACCATCACAATCAATATGTAGGCATCCAAATGCATAAGAGAGCTACCCGCATCTTGCTAAAAGCTGATATAAAATTTAAGGCAACCAAATCATGGGCAGTTGCATTTACCATTCATGAAAAGAACAAAAACAAATGTGGAAGTGGAAGATAGAATTTGTGAGATATAACTTAAGGACAGAGCAAAAAATATACCATTAATCAACATCGAAAAGTGCTAAGAAAATTAGATGGGTTCTACCATATGTTAGCAAATTGATTATTTTCTAAGCAAGAAAGCCTACTTAATGCAATTGCCATCAAATGTCTCACAACAAAGAAAAATTATTCTGTGCGGAAGCAGAACCCCGTTTGGATGCCAAAGGCCGCGGCTCAATACCGCGGTACCGAGCGTGGGTATTGCTCGGCACCGCAGCTAGGTATGACTGACTTGGTTCATTCTGATTGGTGTTCGGATGTTGAGCTGCGTTCGGCGTCCGCACAGAATAATCTCTCCAAAACAAATAGCTCTATCATAAATTTAGCATTTGTTAAGCAAAAAAACAAATGACTAAAGCAAACAAATGTATGAAAAGTCATTTAAAACTACCCGGAAACAGCAAGAAATCGAATAGAGGAAAACCTTTCATGAAGACAACGCCATATTCATCTACAATAAAGTTTAAAAAAGTGATTATCCAAGCACTTACTTGACCACAACCAGCAAATAGTTCAGCAAGGCGCTCTTCAGTGACCTGATCAATGCAACACGATCATCAATGCCAGTAAAAATAGGGCAAGCAAAAGCCTTTATCTAACACGTAAAAAAGAAAAAAAGGAAGTATGAAAAGGGAGATATCCATCTTCCGGATTGCTCACATTGAGATCTATATCAGAAACATAAACTGTTCGTCTAATGCTTTCATCCCTTTCAGCTCTTCTCACCCTTTCATTCATCCTCCTCCCTTGGTTATATACATTCCTCCTCTGCATAAAATCCCAAATTACTATAACAAGAGCTGTGATGTAATTACCAAAACTAAACGGAGGGCAAAATTCCACATTGCAATGCAAAATCATAGATTTCTGAAATGATTGCTTTTATCAAATTAGTTTTTTTTTTTTGGTCGACCCTATAAAATTATCTAACCTAAGATGCAAAAATCACAGCCGTACCCTTCGATTAAACAGCTGATTATTGGGAGATCCATCACTACTTGAATCCTTACTACTATACCCATTGTTGCTATTATAATAATCGATCGACGCAACGAAGACCGGCGCATCAGCAGAGAGCCGACCATCAGATTTTGCGCGGTGGGGCATGTAAGACGACGGGAAGAACTCCTTAGCCGATGGATTCAATTTCGAAAGAAGGTCTACCAGCTTCCTCACATCCCTCTGATACTCCATCTCCTGATTGCAAGAAGAGGGCTTGCGGTGGATGAACTGATCGTCTACTCCGATCGAGCTCTCCGCAACCGCAGCCATCTCCCCTAATTCAACCCCCTTACAAACAAAAAAAAACCCCCACAATTCACCGCTGAACGGAACCTTAGAAAGAAGCCATTTTGATCATCACCGGTGCATTTTATCTCTACAGAAGCACTGAAATTTCACCAAAAATTTCTTTTTTCTTTTTTAGTTTGGGAAGAGAAAGTGAGGGAGAGAGGGGAGCAGGGAGAAGAAATAGAGTAGATGACGCAAAAATACAGGGGTAGAAATGTAGCAAAACTTTTCCCAAAAAACAGAAATGTAGCAAAACAGAATAAGCTAGTGATCAAACCTTACTCAATAAATAAATAAAATTATATATATATAGTCTATTACTTCAAAAATATTTCTTAAATCCTTAAAAATATTGTCATATAAAATTTTAATTTTGACAAAATTATGAGGTGTGAGCACTGCTTAGAGGTCAATGTAGACCTCTCCTTAGTTGCATGAATCAAGAAAAATAGTCTTAATTTTAATTTTACATTTTTCATAAAATCGATGTATCCATTAAAGTAAAAATTATTTTTAAAAAATTGTTGCTAATTTTTGCTCAAATTTGATAATAAATATTTTGTTAGACTTTTAAATGTGACAAAATTGAGATTGAAATATCAAAAATTTATTTCAGGGGCCCAAAAAGACTAGAATAAGCTTGTTTCATCTTGAAATTGAACTCAAATTAAGCTGGCCAGTGGCGATATTAGGGCTTGCCAATGCTTCTATGCCTTCTAGTGGGTTTTTTTTTTAAGAAAAACTTTTCTTTATTTTTTAAATCTCTCTCTCTCTCTCCCCTCTTAGAGAGATTTTTTAGGTTTTCTCTATCTTATTTATTTAAGAGAATTTTTTTATTAGAATATTGCAAATTTTTTAACTTCTAGCCCTCCTCATTGAGCTATAAATACTCATCCGTAAGAGTAGGAGATTTCTTATCCCCTTCTTGTAGTCTCCAATTCTTTCTCTTAAAAGAAGCTTTCCACTTTTTTCATAAAAATATATAAATCTTTATTTGTAAATTTTAGTAAAATATCTTCCTCGAAGATAGACAATATGTATCTACCTTACATGCTTAAGTGCTCATCCTTTAAGACTAACGAATTATCTTTTGAAGCTGCGAGAAAAATTCAGGTTTTTCAATAGGTTTTGATCCTATATTCTAAAAGAACTAATGTTCGATTGTATATGCAAAATATTCTCCCTTCACAAGCTTTTGTTTTCTCTCTATCATGAGTAATGAACCAGTTTATAGGTAGTGTTGTGAGTGACACCCAAGTTTTTTAATATCTATGACGAAGCTTCAGCCTTCCTCTCAATAGGAGTTTGACTCTCTATTTGAAAGAAATTTTCACCCCATTTGAAATCTACAATTTTCTCCTTAATAGAAAGGTAACGACTATCAAAATTTGATATAGAAGTGATCATATGAAGATGATGTTGAAGAAAGCACTTTAAATCATAAAATTTGACTTTCAACTTAATAGTGATGATTCCAAGCACAAGTATTAATATTAAAGCCATTAGAATCATTTGGGATGTTTTGAAGATAAAATTCATATCGTTGCATCAAATTTTAAGTGGGAAGAAATCGCTTGTTGAAAGTTGATGCATTAGTTTGGAGATCATTATAATTTGACATAATATAAATCTAATCATTATATATTTTTCAATATGTTGAAAGTAATGAAATCTTCATTTTATGTAAGAATGCTTCAAATTTGTGCATGAGAATTATTTCCGTGGAAGAAATTAAGTTCCCTATATGACATTAAGATATTCTTGAAATATTCGATTCTTGATAGAAAATATTGCCCCCCTACTGAAACATAATGATCTTAGTTCCTTACATGATAAGGCCTTTTTGAGGCTTTTAGTTTTATATGATTTTTGGAGAATTGAAGAAACCTATATATTATGAGGTTTATGGTCTTCTGGGATTTTTTGAGAATCGGAGAAACATGTACCCTTTTGAGGCTTGTAGCCTTTAATTTCTTTGAAAACTAGAGAAACCTATACTCTTCAAGGGTTTTAGCCTATTGATATTTTGGTCTATCTATAATTTACGGTGGTTGAACCGTCGTGTCCGATCGGGTATGTCGGTGGGATGAACGGTTGAGTCTCTTTCTTTTTTTTTTTGTTCGGAGCAGTTACAGTCAACACTTAGTTCCTTACATGATAAGGTCTTTTTGAGGCTTTTAGTTTTAGATGATTTTTGGAGAATTGAAGAAACCTATATATTATGAGGTTCATGGCCTTCTGGGATTCTTTGAGAATCGGAGAAACATGTACCCTTTTGAGGCTTGCAGCCTTTAATTTCTTTGAAAACTAGAGAAACCTATACTCTTCAAGGGTTTTAGCCTATTGATATTTTGGTCTATCTATAATTTATGAGGCTTTTATCTTCTTAGATTTTTTAGATTTATGCCTTCTAAAATTTTAAGTAAATTTATACCTTCTTTAGAGATCATGTCTTCTAAAAAATTTTATATACTTTTACCTTCTATGATTTTTCATATATATACACCTAAGATTTGTGAATAATTCTTTACTTTTTGAGACATTTATCTTCTGACCTTCTGCGATTTTTAAATAAGTGAAGATTCTCTCAACCAGTTGCTCACGTGGCGCATTTTTATTGGTCTCCAGACCACATCCAGACTTTGCACCTAATAATTTGCCCTATTTTCTTATAGAGTTACTCTAGTGCATACCATCAAGGCTACCTCTTAGGTGTGCCTTTTTTGGAGATACAAGTGGAGATCTTATCTATTACTTGCCCTTATAGGGTTTTCTAGTAAGGATCATATTTATTACTAGCTTTTCATCAAAGCTATCTCATAGGTGTGCCTTCTAGAAGTTTTTTTTTTAGATGAAATATTTTTTATACAAAAAAAAAAAAAGAATATTGATAATCTAAAGATACAATCCATATATAAGAGCTCGTAGATTGTGATGATACTCATATTCAATAACTATGATATATATATTTTACCATGAGTCTTCAGATATTCTCTATTTTGAGGTTTTTGATCAACAAGAATAGGATGTTCTTAACGAATCCCACGTACAATCTCTTCAATTAAAAATATATTTTATTAAATACCCTCTTGAAAGATAAAAATGATAATATTGAGACCGTTCTCCGTTATTTAGATTCTTTAGAGGTTTCGACCAGTAATTGAGCTCAAAATTTTAAATCTTCATTAGAATGTTACCCTCAAATGTAGTTAATGTAGTTGTAATTTGGTAACTCAAGTTGATTTTGGTAACACAGGCGTCTTTGATCTCTGAACTGCTCTTGCTTTTTTTAGTTGGTAAGACCGATCAATTTCTTATTGTAAATTCTTTCAATTACCTGAGAATTATTCAAATTGCTTCCAACGAGCATTTACAACCTCATCAAAAATTATTTGTGCTTCTACTCGATAACTAAAATCGCCATAACAATAAATTATTTTTTACATTAATGAAGAGTAAAATGATCCAGAACGGATATATAAACCCATAGTCAAAAGATATTTATTTATTTATTTTTTTTTTTTGACGAAACTTTTACTTAGTTGGCATGTGTTGAATGTTGTTGTGATCCAATTTTTGGTACGATGAAAATTAAGCCCCACGAGGAAGCCACGGACTTGGATTTCGAGGCAAAATCCAGCGGCTTCAATGCATATTTCAAAGATTCTTCTTCTAGATAAGCTATTATATTATTATTTTATTTATTTTTTGTTGAATAGGATGTGAGATTGGATTTACATTTTGGTACAATTAATTAATTTCTTTCATTAATGATGTTGAATAAAGATGATTAGCTAACATTTCAATTTCTTCTTTTGAAGATTTGAACATGGAAAAGAAATTTTAGCTTAGTTATTCTGAATTCTTTTGAAGATTGGAACTAATAAAAAATAGTGATATAAAATTATCCCAAATAAAGCTTTAGAATTCAATGAGAATTCTTTATATTCTCATGTCCATACAACAACAAACAACAACATCAAGCCTTTATCCCACTACGTGGGGTCGGCTACATGAATCAGCTTAGTTATTCTGAATTCTTTCGAAGATTTGAACTAATAAAAAATAGTGATATAAAATTATTCCAAATAAAGCTTTAGAATTCAATGAGAAATCTTTATATTCTCATGTACATAACAATGCAAAAAGAAAACAAACAATATATAATTTATCTATAAAATATAATAATACATTAAGACTTCATTTGAGACATATTTTTTATTACTTTTTAAAGCAGCTTTTAACACACAAATTTTTAATTTCTAAATTTTTGTATTAAAAAATTACTTCATAAAAAGCAATAGAAAAATCAAAAACCATCCCAAATAAAGCCTAAATCAATGATGATTATGTAAATATAAAAAATACACATCAATATAATTGTATAAATAAAGCACTCATCTTTAATTTAATTAAATTTATACAATAATACTTGACAAGCTTAGTGAATATATTTTGAAATACATGAGGATTAAAAGGAAATTAGTTCATTACATTACACATAAAACATAAAGTTAAAACCCAAGCCTCTTAATGGAGTAATGATTCCGTCAGGTTACCGAATGCATTCGGAAACCAATAACAAAACGCCACGTCACTAAAGTGCTCGGTATTGTGCTCGGTACACTCGGTATGCTCGGTATTTTTACCAGACGCAATAAAAATTCCTCTTAATGACCATCATAGGAACAAATAATAACCATGGAAATTATTTTATAACTCAACATATCTCACATAAGAATCATTCAAGGTGCGAACAAGATCTTTCCTCGAATTCCATAATATTTACTTAGGATTCATTTGGGACAATTTTCTCATTATTTTCTAATATAAAAAAAATTAAATTTAAGAATTTTTATATTAAAAAATATTTTAAAAAGCAATAAAAAACTGTAAGCCATACTCCGTAATGAAAACAACTATTTGGAAAGGTCACTCAAACACATCTCTGAAACTTTGGTTACTCTTTTGCTTCTCAGCATTCGCATAAGTTTGAAGAGCTCAGTCCTCAAAAAGGAGACATTTTTTTTTGTGTGGACACCGGACGATCCGGAGGCCAATCAGAACGCGTTATGTTATCCGATATCCAGTAGTACCCAGAACCGGTACCAAGCAAAAAAATGACCTTGCACGTTCTGGTTAGATTCCGAACGGCATCCGATGTCCGCACAGAATAATTTATCCTCAAAAGGACTCGACCAACACCTTATTCCTGTTATGTAAGTCTTCTATTTCATCTTCCAATTTCA